TCTCACGCTTGAGGTATTCGGCCAATCACAACGCACTGGACTGCTGGCCAATCAGAGCACACCTAGCTTTTCAAACCGATGAGCTTTGTAAAAAGCGTTTCAGAAAGGCGGGGCATAGAGGAGAAACAATAATGTACATTATGTGGAAAATAATGTTTTTTGAACCTTAAACTGCATAAACACATTTCATTAAACCAAATACACAAAATAATGTTATTTTTAGCAACATCATATGACCCCTTTAACTTGTTTTTAAGTCAGGAAGTCAACATTTCACATTATTTAATTGCATTTTAATTGCATCGCACTGTAATCAAAGTGTCATATAATAGGTTATAGGTTTGTCTTTAGCAAAGACTCTCAAATAAAAGTTTATAGATGATTAATGTTTAATGTAGGTTCAGGTGTAAATTAAACTGCAGGACTGTCACACAAACAGTCTCAAATGTGGAAACTAGACCTTTGACTTCCATCAGTAGGCCTATATGTGTTTTTCATTATAATTAAACACAAACACTAGAATGACTGATCATGTTGCTGAGTGACAGAATCATTGGTCAGATATCATTAGCACTGTTTGGAGTCATTTTTGTCTTGATTTTTAACCAGTGTTAATCCTTGTGCTTTACTCCATACAAACCTGTTTCATGAATCACTTAAGTATCTATTTCCTCCCCATGTATGAGTATTCAGATCAACCAGTTCTATTAGAACACGTGATCTGGGATTCTGTTCAGTGTCTTTATCAACTGTATTTAACATCAGCTGTATTAAACAGACACATTTATATTCCTCTTGTAGAACAATCTGACTCTCCGCTCTTCAATACGACAATCTGATGAAGATTCAGAATGAGAGAGAACAATGTTAGACACAATGAAAATGAAGAATGAACAGATTTCTGACATTACTGACACGCTGAGACACGTCTGCAATATCCAGCGTGCCACACAGTGTTTAGAAGATTTAGATGTTGATCTCAGTCTGTTTGTCTGAACACAGGAGCGTTTCATTTAAAATGGCAGTCACAGTTTCTCAGATGTTTCTGTGATGTTTGTATAGTTTGGTCAAAAATGAAACTGTGGCTTTGTGCCACAGAATTTGTTGATTACTGATATATTCCCGTCCAGACACCATGATGTGTTAGACAAGCTTTTCTCAACCTTAAATCCAGTAGCAGCAGATTTCTTCCAGCCTTCTCGGTCGGATTGTCACAGACAATGAGACTTTTACTCAAGCTGATGAGTTAAAATAATCATGTACGAATAGCTCTAAACTGCTCAATGTAATTCATTAAGGTATTCTTATATTAACAGTATCATTTTCTGTATAGCTGCTTTGAGCTGTATTGTGAACAGTGAAATTTGTTTCATAACAGCCCGAACATCAGGTCGCAACACCCCAAAATGACTGACATCAGGGTGGGAACATCATTCAAATGTACAGGAATAATAACATTCACTTTCAGAAGGAAAGTTGAGCCTCTCATTTACGTAAGTTTCTGTTGCACTGTTGTGTAACAGCACTCATTCTCTGACTGACCGCGGAGATTCCAGAACGTTGTCGGGTAAAAGGTCAGCGTATTTGATAGGTGACTAAACTGTTTTTATATGTGTTTATCAATTAACTGTATAAAATGTAATATTTCTTCCTTTCATCTTAAAAATTGTATTGAAATTGTTGACATGACCGAAACATCAGAATAAACCACCTGCTGAATTATGAAATATGTCATTGTGACATTATTGTTTGACAAATCAAATGTTTGGTTTTTGTGTGTATGTCATAAATATTCTAGTCAAATAATCTATAAAAAGACAGCAGTTGTGGGATGACACATCAGTGCTGGGAATCTGACTTGGACAGGAAATACAAGCACCTGCAGGAGGAAGTGGGAGTTCCCATACTGTCATCTCAACATGAACCAGAGCCATTGAGACAGTGTTCTTCTCACAATAACGCCTGACAACAGAGCTGAGATCAGCTAAGATGAGTCCTGGGTGTAATTGATTTGTGTAACTCAATCAGCATGTTGACTATCATGGGTTGCGTTTGTATGTGTTGTGTTTGCTGATCAGAGGTGCTATTGTAGCCTCTGGGAACAAATAACTCCATAACAATATTTAAAAAATTATATTACAAATTATTATATATTAAATAAAAATATTGCAAATTATGTTTTAATATCAGTGTGATTAGAAAGGCTTTAGAGAAACCTTCCTGTATTTTTAAATGCAGCATCCCGCTTTGTTAATAATGTTGATTATTAGCTTGTCAGCCAAGTATGTTGTTCTTGAATCTATAAAGTAAGTTATAATATAAAGTCACTCATGTTACAAACTGCCTCAAGCATGTAAACTGAGTACGAAATCCTTACAAAGGCTTTTGTTTAATGATTTCCAGTGACTGTTTAGCTCAAACATGCAGACACACTGGTTTAGACTTCGACTTCTTTTAAAACTGAAGCATGTTTTGAAGTGGAGCCTCTTTCAGACGTGGCATATTTTTAAAATCCACCGATGAAGAAAAGAAAAACGATACAGTGGACTCATACTAGACTAAGAAATTATATTCTGGCATGTGCTTTTATTTAATGTGCAACAAAAAATAAGAAAATGTGGAAATATTAAGTTAATTTTTAAAAATCTGATGTAAAATAGGGTCGCCTTGATTTTGCCAAGTAAGACATGTTCCTGGATCAACATCTTTTGTTGATCCTGGATCAACATTACTGTCCAAAAATACAGACTTAAAGGGGTCATATGATGCGATTTCAGTTTTTCCTTGCTCTTTGGAGTGTTACAAGCTCTTGGTGCATCAGCATCATATGACCCCTTTAACCCAATCCCTACCCCTAAACCTAACCCTACCCATAATTTATTCCTAAAAACAGTGTGAAATGATAGCTGATTAACAAGGGTGTAGAAGCACCTAACCCTGATTGTAAGCCTAAAACAGATATTTCCTGAAAAGTTATCCCTCATTTCTGATTGGTTGATAGGAATGTTGTTCCAGGATCAACAAGGATGTTGATCCAGGAACATGTTGTACTTGGTGAAATCACGCTCACCGTAAGATAGAGCCTGCTTGAATTCCTGCAGACAATAGCGTGCCACATCAGACACGTCCAACTTTTTTATATTGTGTTTTTACTGCACACACTTAAATCACATTAAACAGACACACCTGAGGAATGTGTAGTGAATAAAGCTTTACTAGTTCTAGTATGATAATGTATTGTGTTTGATTTGTTCATGTAGTTGTTAATAATCTCTTATTAACAATGTGTTTTTGATTATAGACAATGAGGGCAAGTATTGAGAAAAGTGAATGAGCAATCAGTCAATCAATGGTTGAATCTTAAATTGGGCTTGATTATTATTTAAACACCACAGACCAATGAAACTGTGGTTGTAAGGAATGAACACATTCACAGGATCTTCATATTCACACAAACTGATCTTTATTTGAATAATCTTCGTCCTGCTTGTATCTTTTTTTTTTTTTACTATTGAAATGAAACAATGTGCATGTAAACACTCAAAGACATTGACACTGAATAAAAAATCTTGTTCAGTATGAGGGAATTTTTGATGTGAGTCCTGGTTTAGGTTAATGAAACTTGAGGTTCAGTGAACTGTGAAAATATTGTGGTTTTATGTTTCTATCAAGGTTATTTATATACACAAGAAAAACACAAGAATTGTGCAGCAATGTGATGTGTAAGAACTGAAGCAGGAAAAATACAAGGTAATGCAGAAGTCGAGGTTATAGCTGATGATTTAAAACTTTTGTTGGTTCCCAAAAGTCCTCTAGAGTTTCACCGGATTCTCCACAGTCAGAATATGAGGAAATCTTCCATCTGTTACACAATGACATATTGTGCTTTCCTCTTATATAAATGGTCAGCTTACATAAGTGAGGGGAATCTCCTGGGATATACTTTTCAAATCTATTCTCAGTGTCTTCTGTGTGCCTATTGTATGTATATGAATGTAGCATTTTGGTCATTGTGATGATTTTAAAGGAATTTAAAGGTCAAAGGTTAGTAGCAGATGAACATGGCTTTGACAAATGCTTCACCAAGTAAACACTTTAACAGGTAATCACTGTGCCAATAATGGACAGCCATCATTCACATTCCTACTATTATTGCAATCTTTTGGTCTTTTCCATTATTTCCTGTAAGTTGTACTGAGATAAAAACAGCGTGATTATTTCCTGGTCTGGATCAGTTTTCTGCTCTTCTGTTTAGACACTCTTCTGAAATGCGATTCTAGTTCTGTTTCAGCCTCCTGACATGACTGAAATTCTCATGAGAACAGCAGACACTAAAAAGGAAACTTTATTTAAGACTGAATTACAGCTGGCAATTCAAACTCACAGAATATCAAGTGACCTGCAAAGCAAACACTAACCCACTACTGAAGCACAATGGAAAGATAATGCTGAATTACATAATATATATACAAAATTACAAAATAACAATATATACTTATCCCATCACCACAAAAACATATACATCAGCAATATCATTCAGATATGTTTAATATGAGCTATTATAATGCACTAAAACAGTCTCTTTCTGTCTTCATAAATAAACACCTTTAACCCTATTTTTATGTGGGTTTTACTGTTGATTCTGAGAATAGAAGTTACAATAGAAAAAGAATAATAAAAATCAGAATAATAATCCAGGATAATAAAACGACTTCTAGAGAGTCACATGACCGCACGAAAAGTTAATTATTGATGGAAGAAAGTCCCAAAATAACATGCTGAAACACGCCTTAAGCCAACAATCAGGGACGTTCTGGTTTAACAGGTTTAAAGTTACTGATTACCATCTCAGGTAAAGACTGTTGATCATGTTTAACGTGCAAACCTTCTGACAAAACACACATAAGAGTAATAATAATAACAACAATACGGATGTAGTTACGTTGTTTAGAGATTATAGTTTACAACCTTTTTACACACCAGAGCCAAATGCAACACTTCAGATCTGCTACTGAACAAGAGAAGATTCACTGTTCAATCCAGTGAATCTGGATGACAGCATGACTTCATTTTCTTTCTCTTTAACGCTGTCTTTCATTTATCATTACTTTCTAAATAATCCTTCCTGAACTTCCTCATAACACTGGATTCCTCTTCTAATGCCAGGTAGCTTCTCTGAACTGTTGCTCTCACTTTCCTTTACCATCTACTACTCAGTAGTGAACAATGATAAAACTGTTTCACAGAAACAACCGACATCTGCCCGAAGTGGCAAATGAATCTGTACACACAGACTGCCTGACTGACAGCGATTCTGAAGGGAAGAATGGGACGGTCGCTCATGAGCGGGACTGTGCTCCTTTACCTTTCAGGATCCGACGCACCTGTGGAAATTACAGAGAAAAACGGGTCACTGGAAATCTCTATGGGATCAGTGAGTCATGCAAAGAGCCTGAGGCTCTTTTGCCTGAACTGCTTAAACCGGTTTCATTAACGTTACTCCAGTCTAGTTCTCTCTTTTTTAACACTACATGACTATTCAAAAGCAGATCTTAGGAACTAATATGCGACTATGTGAGTACACACACATATGAGTTACTCAAGTTCACTTGTGTATTCACATAATTTTGTATAAATGGATTTAAGTTGCAGTTTTACGTTTATGTTGTGTATTTATATGATTAATCTCATACAAGAAGCATTTCGATCAGGAAATTAACACGCTAGCAAAGCGTTTACCGAACAGTTTACCGAAGTTCGTTTACTCTTCAGCTTCAGTTCACACAGTTCAAACGGCAATGCCCAACATTACTGACATGTGTTTCATGTTTTCATAAGTTTCTTTTTCAAAAATATGGATGATGCATTGTTAATAATAACTAGCATTTTTTGTTATTTATCCCCATCATATTTTCATCAATAATTTGATTGTTTTTATTACAATAGTTTTCTCCATGACGTACATAGCCCCGCCCCGCCCCCTCAGTTAATCAATTAATCGCTTTACGGAGCTTTCCAGTACTCAAAAAGGAAGACATGACAAATGCCCATCCCTATTGTAGAGGTCAAACTAGCACTGAAGTTCTCTGACCTGGTCTCCCAGCGGACTGTCGGGCACTAGTTGGGCCGGTTGCTCATTCTCCAGGTTCTTGGCACTGGGATCGGCTCCTCGTCTCAGCAGTAATCGAACCGCATCCACTTGAGCCTGGCGGCCTTGCAGAGCGCTGGCCATGTGCAGCGCTGTGTTCCCACTGTATGCCTGCCAATCACACAACGAGAGGTCACATCAAACCCTAGGGCTGACTGCCTGTAGGTGAGTGTGCCACACAACACTGCTCACTAACCTTTGCGTTTATAATAGAGAAGTAGTTGGTCTGATCCAGAAAAAGGCGCAGAAGCTCAACGTTAGCCTCTTCAGCAGCCATATGCAGAGCGGTGCGGCCACTTTTGCGATCCTGTTTGAAAAACGGTGAAAATGCAGTCTAGAACAGCAGACACAATGACACCTTAAGCGGCAACAAAACAATGTTCACCTTCATTTCCAGCGACGCGCCCATGAGCAACAAAGTGCTGATACACTCCCCAAGCAGCTTCCTCTTCTGCAGCAGAGCCAGATTCTGAGCAGAGGGGGGCGTCCCGTGACAGCACAGCTCCTGCACTACAGCATTGTGGGACAGGACTGCAACATGGAGAGGCGTAAGTCCTACAAACACAAAACATGTTTTTTAATGTGCTGTAACATCAACTGTTGATGAATTTATTAAAAATAAAATACTCCCTTAACTAGAAAAAATTATCTTGTTTCTGAAAGACACTGACCATCATAGTTGACCACCTCCATGTTGACTTGTCGCCCACTAGTCTGGATGGATTTCTGGATGGCCTGAAGGGAAACAGGGAGTTTGGTACTTACAAGTCCCAAGAAAGCTCTAGCATGAAAACAGATCTCAACATGTACTACACTGTGGCATTCTGGGAGAAGGGAGGGATTCTATATGAAAGCCAAGAGTGGCAGCATTAACGACTGCAGAGATGGTTGCGTACCATGATCTGTCAACAGTTAATGGCTGATAGAAACACAGGCATTTTGTTTTCCAGCCTTATCTAAATGGATTTAAGTTGCAGTTTTACGTTTATGTTGTGTATTTATATGATTAATCTCATACAAGAAGCATTTCGATCAGGAAATTAACACGCTAGCAAAGCGTTTACCGAACAGTTTACCGAAGTTCGTTTACTCTTCAGCTTCAGTTCACACAGTTCAAACGGCAATGCCCAACATTACTGACATGTGTTTCATGTTTTCATAAGTTTCTTTTTCAAAAATATGGATGATGCATTGTTAATAATAACTAGCATTTTTTGTTATTTATCCCCATCATATTTTCATCAATAATTTGATTGTTTTTATTACAATAGTTTTCTCCATGACGTACATAGCCCCGCCCCGCCCCCTCAGTTAATCAATTAATCGCTTTACGGAGCTTTCCAGTACTCAAAAAGGAAGACATGACAAATGCCCATCCCTATTGTAGAGGTCAAACTAGCACTGAAGTTCTCTGACCTGGTCTCCCAGCGGACTGTCGGGCACTAGTTGGGCCGGTTGCTCATTCTCCAGGTTCTTGGCACTGGGATCGGCTCCTCGTCTCAGCAGTAATCGAACCGCATCCACTTGAGCCTGGCGGCCTTGCAGAGCGCTGGCCATGTGCAGCGCTGTGTTCCCACTGTATGCCTGCCAATCACACAACGAGAGGTCACATCAAACCCTAGGGCTGACTGCCTGTAGGTGAGTGTGCCACACAACACTGCTCACTAACCTTTGCGTTTATAATAGAGAAGTAGTTGGTCTGATCCAGAAAAAGGCGCAGAAGCTCAACGTTAGCCTCTTCAGCAGCCATATGCAGAGCGGTGCGGCCACTTTTGCGATCCTGTTTGAAAAACGGTGAAAATGCAGTCTAGAACAGCAGACACAATGACACCTTAAGCGGCAACAAAACAATGTTCACCTTCATTTCCAGCGACGCGCCCATGAGCAACAAAGTGCTGATACACTCCCCAAGCAGCTTCCTCTTCTGCAGCAGAGCCAGATTCTGAGCAGAGGGGGGCGTCCCGTGACAGCACAGCTCCTGCACTACAGCATTGTGGGACAGGACTGCAACATGGAGAGGCGTAAGTCCTACAAACACAAAACATGTTTTTTAATGTGCTGTAACATCAACTGTTGATGAATTTATTAAAAATAAAATACTCCCTTAACTAGAAAAAATTATCTTGTTTCTGAAAGACACTGACCATCATAGTTGACCACCTCCATGTTGACTTGTCGCCCACTAGTCTGGATGGATTTCTGGATGGCCTGAAGGGAAACAGGGAGTTTGGTACTTACAAGTCCCAAGAAAGCTCTAGCATGAAAACAGATCTCAACATGTACTACACTGTGGCATTCTGGGAGAAGGGAGGGATTCTATATGAAAGCCAAGAGTGGCAGTATTAACGACTGCAGAGATGGTTGCGTACCATGATCTGTCAACAGTTAATGGCTGATAGAAACACAGGCATTTTGTTTTCCAGCCTTATCAAAGGATGTTGTTTTGTGCAGCCAGTCAAGGGAATTTTTTTGCCTGTGTTGCGTGCCTCTTTTTTGAGGAAATGCATATTAGTCAAGCATGTTATGAGGAAGTAGGTGAGTGGCTGGTTAAATAAACACTGAGCATTTGATTAAATGATAGACATGGACTGTTGAAAGACGATGAGAAAATGATAAGAGGAAAAACAGTGGCTAATAGATGCATGCGCAGGTTAACAAGGAAATACTGTACTGTACATAAACTTAATGACTTCAGGGATAGGCCATGGTGGGTGACTAGTTAACTAGCTATTCAACAACTGACTAGTCATTTAGGCCGCATTTGCACTGCAGTTCTTGATGCCCAATTCCAATTTGTAGACTATCAGTTTTTTCTGACGACCAGCTTAAATCTTCTTTTATAAGATGAACCATATATCTGCATTTACACTATACACTTGCCGAAACAACTTAGGGTAGACGAACTGATAGGTTGCCAGGTCTGCAAAACAAAACAAGCCCAACTGCTATTCAAAACTCGTTTAAAAATCACATTTTTACACCGTCCTCCCCTCCGGCGTGGATCCCCCTCCGTCGAAATGGGGGGGGGGGACAGATCACTTTAACGTGAGGACAAAAAACAACCTGTGGCAACAGTGTAAAAATAGCCCAATTCCACAGGAAAACAGCAGACTTGGCAACACTGCGTACTGACC